AATTATATCTATGATTGCGATTGTACAGCTAAGTGAATCAATTCGCCAAAAAGAGACTCTTCGCTGAACTACGTGTTTTATTTTTTATTAATGTCTGGATAGGGCTTCATGCTACAGCTTTGAAGTTTCGGGAGAAGTGGCATTTATTTTTACGTGATGAGGATTATTCATGAATTGAAATATGAGCATTTCAATTCACTTCTATTTCTGCAGCTGAACACCGAATGATGTGTAGGAACAATGTCAAACAGAGTTATAATTTAGTTAGTTACAGTTTGCAAAACTTGACACTAGAGTTCCTGGCTTTAGCATTAAATAATACGAATCCTTATCTACAAGGCAAAATGACCGTTATGTTATGTCTTAACGATGAGCATTGATCATCATAAGACCGAGTTTTTGTGTTTTCCGGCTAGTGAGAGCATATATTTAAAACGAGTCTCTTAGGATCAACATAAAATTCATTACGAAATCAAAACCATATAGAAAATTCTATCGGAATGGGAAGAAAACCGCAGAGAATCTCCAACCCAATTCAAACAACTACTTCGCCCTATCAATTAGATAGACGCAGCTATGCATGAATTTCAGATATGCATGTGGTTTTGTATAGTAATCCTCATATTGTTAAACTTAAATTACTTCGGTTAGGAGGGTATTCTATTTTAAGTTTGCTAAAAACATTAGTAATACTTTACAGCACATGTAACAGTCTTGCGAGTAGCAAATGTCAACATTCTGCCACGCAACCACTTAAAAAATCTATACGAAACCCTATGTAAAACGCATATTATCTATGTAAGTGCGTTGATTAGTTTAGCCTTTCTCCTCCTTTACTGTGAATACATGAATCAAGCGTAACCTTACGACTTTAAGTATTCATGTTTAATGTTAGAAGTATGGTGCATATATAAGACATTCCTTTAAAATGTTAACTTTTGTCAGTACATCGAAAAGCACACAGTAGAAAGCGATATAAGCCTGTTGTGTACAAAATCTGTATTACCAAAGAAGGAGATCGGTTCGTAGGCTTTGTTAATCAGTTATACGGAAATAATGGAAAATTTTTATTAATGTCAATACAGTACAACTCAAATTCAGGCGTCTATACATCTATATTTTTTCTTTAAGTACTTAAAACGATGAAATCTGACAAAGATGACATAGACTACAAGTTAAATTATTGCTCAAAGAAATGCTAGTGTGATCTATTTCACTAATAAAAACCACTTGGGTAACGTAGAGCAAAGTATAGAATAAAATTGCTGAAAATGTGCAAAAACAATAAATTATCTGGTAGAGTATGTAATATTTATCATTCTGGACAGTTGTTTCGTCCTAGTTTAGGAGTCTTCAGAGGTACGGAGTCAGAACCCAAGATCTTCTGGTCACAAATCAACCTCGTAGACCATTTAGTCACTGGGACCCAATTCAATGGTCAGTGCATGAACTCAAACTTATGCCGATTTACGATATATATGGCGCAACCACTAACCAATGTCATGGATAGGTAACTATCCAGTCGCCAGACTTGGAGTACCCCGCTGGTTACGACTTCTGATTAGATCTCCACGTAACTTTCTGTAGAGAGCCAGTTGCTGCTGAGCATCAGATTAATTTCCAAACGTTGGTTGATAAAGATTTGATTAGTCACAGGTTGGATCCCCAGCTGACATCAATCAGAGAACCATTGGAAATCCAGGAAGTACTGAACAGTTGTTACGTCTACTTCGGGATTCTTCAGTAATATTCACTCGCCAGGGGTTCGGACCCAGGACCTTCAGGTTACATGGCACCACGTAGACCATTCAACCGAAACACCCTGGTTTACCAGTCGTTCTTGAACTGATGTCAACTTGCGACCATACCCAGTGACCAATCAAATCCCTGCAAACCAACACTTGAAAATTTATCATATTTTTGTCTTTACAGTGTAGAATTTAACTGTAAAATCAGGTTGAATTTGGTTGAAATAGTCTGTGTTAGTAACCTATAAGTCTGATAATTGCTGATGTGAATTACATATGTCATCTGAATGTAGTCTTTGAGTTGACAGAAACAAATTACTCCACATCTTAGATGATATCATTCAAAAATGATCACTATAGTACCAAATGCATTTACTCCCGAATATTCCTTGATGATTTCTAGTAAATGACTATCCGAAATCCATTTGATCTATGCATAATTATGTTTTCCTCTTTAACTATTAGTTACCTACTTTACTGAACAGCTCTTCGCATATATTCACCCTATAGAAAACTATTGTTTCCCTAGCTGATAATATCATTATTACTTACCTTGTTGACTTCTTCAACTAGATGCACTGATATAAAGTATGGAGACTAAGACGGGAAGAAGGTTATTATTATTGTTGTTGATGTTTAACTTTATTGTCTCTCTAAGAGTGAATTTTAACACCTTATCTCCTTTGCCTTCAAATGCAGTGCAGTATTATTACATTTAACAACAATGAGAAAGTGAACCAGACATACAGACCATCTTACTCGCCTTTCTTCAATCAAAAGAAAATACTATTGACAATACTTAAATCAGGAAGATAAAGTAAATAAACAAACTGTGTATAGGACAAATACCGATGAAAGAAAACAAATTATCACTAAGGTAAATATTTTCTCATTTGTTTACCATGCTCCAAGTGCTAGCTGACAAGAATTCTTTTAAATGTCTGTTCTCTCATAATCTAGCAGTAGTACAATCTAAAGAGAAGCTTCTCTCCACTTTCCACTTACTTAAGCCTTTAATTAGTTAATTAGTCAAATTTAATGTTATTGTGTTTCGTTTCACACGGTATTCTGTTGTTGAAATCTCTCTAATAATTGGGAATTGCTACAGTAATTGTTACAGTATTGAAAAACAAAAAATATTTAGTCTTCAAAATAATAATAATAATAATCATATGAAGACAATTCACATCTTCAAATGTGACGAATAAATATTGTTGATAATATGCTGTGTAAAATTTTCATTCGAACAAATTATCCTGTTGACTACAAAACAACAACATTGCATATGTTCTGAACTATATTCTCCACCTAAGTGGAGTTAACAAAATTACTGAGATGCACACACACACACAAGAAAGGTGGTATTCTATAATCGATATTCACACTATCATAATCTCCAATTCATTGATGGCTACTGGATAGTTGTCCCGAAGCCGTACTCAGAAGCAAGGTGAAATGGATGGATGCACACTGAAGGCATTGATTGAAGGTGGCATTATATCAGAGAGCTGACAAAGTTAGAATCCGTAGTTCACTGAATTCCAGCTCAAGTGTCTGAATGGTCAACTAGCTTAGTTTCATAAACCAAAGGTACAGGTGTCAGTCCCCGATGGAGTCATGGGTGTGCAGTGATGATGAGACCCAAAACAGGACGAAAAAGTCTTCCAATGCTCCCTGGTTTTCAATGATCTATCCGACTGATGTTGGTTTGTGACAAAATCTGAAAACTGATATGTAGATTTCAGAATATAAGAGCTTTAAATGGTCAAGGTCATGGGCGGGTAACAAGAGAAGCCTATGTTTATTTATCATTTCAACAAAGTGCCTATTTAAAAAAGCCTGTCTCTTCTAAATAGTTACGTTTACTCCTTTTGATCTTGAAGTCACTAAAGTCATTGAAAAGACCAAAAGTGAGTGTCATGAAAGGATATCAGCTCATGAAGTTTGACAGTAGTGAGCTTTTTGGTTGGAATAAACGAAACAACTAAAAATCGATGTACCATAAGCCTAAACTATTTAGTACATAAGTGATTATAGCAGTGCAAGTATAATCACATAAATATTGAAAATGTCATTACTACTCACTATCGTTGGTATTATTATTTCCTCGTCTCACCTTAAATAATTTCCCAGTTGTCGCGTTTATGCGGCCTGTGGTAACCACATATCGATAAGGAATTATACCAGATCACCTTTATTTCTATCTACGTACCCTAATTGAAAACTAATTTAGGATTATTTTAATGGTCGAAAGCATGTGAAAATCAAACAGTGAGCATGATAGCTACCAGCAGCACTGAAACATACGCTGCAATTAACAACAATATTAACTCAAATATCGTTCATAAAAAAACTTATTGTATCTTAGTTGAATCACAAGTGTGTTATTACTTGTGGGAAATGACGGAAAGCTTTGTTTTATGAAATTAGCAGTAACGAGAAATTAAAAATACCTATCCGTCTCGATTTTTTATAACACTAAATGTAATCCAGCATAATTATACTATGTTTTGATTGTATAATTAATATATCCATTGTTTTGAGTGTATTAGTTAGTATAGTACCATATGTACGTGAATCTAGGATACTTCTTAGCCAATTTCATAAAACTACTTTGAATGCATTGTTTGACATTAGACAATTAAAGGCTTTAGGTTTTCATTTTGACTAAGTATATATTACAGTAATTTTGTAATATTGTAGCTATGAGTTGAGAAAAGCTGAAACGACCAATTCGTTAGCCTGCTGAATATATATATATATATATATATATATACATATTGGTGTAATCTCTGTGATGTGCCTCATTCGCTTAATCACTGGGCCTTGAGCCAACCAGCTTTTGGTTTGAATTCCACTCCACCTATGTCAGCATTCTCGTAATAAGTGTGGGGCAGAGTCTGGGATTTGAAAGACCTGTTTTGGTTTCTGGAGTAATCTCTGACTAGTCTTCACTATGGAACAACATCAAGTGCATCTAGACCTAAAAACCACTTCATTAATTATCCTACACATTCATTGGTCAAACGCATACAATTTTCCCGTTTTTTTCCCTTCAATAGACAGCAACCTTATATCCACCAAGCTCTTAAAAATACATTTGTAGTGTTTTCTACAGAATTTTTCAGTATTTCCAGTTCAATATCATACAAACAATAAAATTATCCAACCAAGATAAGAACTTAAATAAGCTTAACTGTAATGATATTTATGTTTAGTGACAAAAAATTGAAATGAATGAAAAATACTAACCGCTATATTCTGGTAAACTGTTTCTAGGAGCTGCAGTCGAATAATTTGTATTATGTTGAACTGATCCATCACTGAGGAATGATAAGTTCGTAAGGCACTGGTTAGTGGAAGCATCAGACATCAGATGCATGCTGGTTGTATTTGTACGTGGATTAACTTGCTGATCAGTCTTGTTTAATCTCCTGTTATAAATACCATCTGTGTAATTATCGGGTTGTTCCATATTTGTAGAAACAGTAGTCACTGAGTTGTGTGAATTCTCACCATTTATTTTTATGTCCGTAGTATAATAACTATTGGATGATAAAGATGAATAATTTTGAGAGAAACGACGTGTTGATGTATTCGAAGGAGGTTTCGACTTTCGGCGTTTATGAACACAATGACTGTCTTTCATCTCTTTAGAGTTAGCACTGCTCTCATCATCTGGGTCTGAATCTTCTTCGGGAATAAAAAGATTATCATGTTGTAATGGTGCAGAACCTGGTCTGTAGATAAATGTGGGTTTTCTGCATGACGAATCTAAGTATGCGGTATAAGATACAGTCCTAGGTCGATTATTATTGGAACTATGATTACGACACTTAACAGTATCTGAACTGGAACTATTGTCAATTCTACGATTTGGTCGCTCCCATATACGCGAATTAGAATGACGATTTGCTAAAGAAGAAGATGAGTTCGAAGAACAAGACTGATGACTTTGAATAGTGTACCCATCATGAATAGGAATTGGCCGGTGTAATGGAGTGGATCTGTTTCCATTTGGAGAAACAGAATTAGGTGTTATTGTAGATGAAAATAAGTTGCCAGAATCAGTTGCGGTTTTAGGTGTGTCGTCCGCAATGACATTCGTCAATCCATCACAGGACTTTACACCTGTAGAATTGTCTTCATTTAGTGAGTTGCTAACAAGAGATAGAAAAGGCGAAAATTTGGATGTTGTGGTTTCTGAATAGGAACCTGACACATTTAAAGGACTTTGTACTGCTGGACTACGTGACACGTAGGCACAAGAAGGATATGTATTTGAACAAGACCATGGAGTTGACCATGTGGGTGAATTTTTTATCATATCACCCATACTTCTCACAAACATTCTATCTGAAAGTTCTTCATTCAGTTCGCTAGCGCAGGGAAGATTACTTAAACATGAACATGAATTAGTCACCATGCAGCTATGACTTGCGTCTGGCTCATTTAAATTAGTTGGGTCCCAAGTCGAATGTTCTGGACCTGATTGATTGAACATAAAAATTCTGTCGTTGTTCGATGAAGTCAGTGGTGCGTAAATAGGATTAGGTAAGGCACAGTAAGATGAAACCAAATTCGGTGGTGATCTAGTCTTCGAATCTCCCCCTCCAGTCCAGCTCGAAAAGCCGCTATCTGTATTAGTGCAAACTTGCTGAATGGAACTCGAAGAGTCACACTTATTCCAAGAACAGGATGGAGTAGTTATTGTTGTTCTACCAATTGGTGGAGAGTCAATATATGGACTTGATGTGATAGTTTCGCCAAACAAATCTAAGCTAGGAGATGTTGGAATGTCAGAAGAGGACAATATATCCGACTCGATGCTACGAATTAAATAACGACTACAAAATGGTTCCAGTTGTTCAATATAACTCTGTGAATTATTTTCCGAACTGTTATAAGTGCTGGGTGGGTCCAGTTTGTCATCACCCATTCGGATGGAAGTCTTATAGCACTAAATTTGAAAAGCACGAGCCGTAAACACGTGTATTTCAGCGAATTGCTTTTCGAATGCCATGTCAACTTCATTTAGCGAATCAAATATGTTTTGTCTTATTTGCTGGCCTCGTATTAACCAATCAGTTTTAAGTATATTTTTAGTAATACGGTTGACCAATGAACTACTCAGACAGAATAGCCTAAAGCTTGTCATCAGTCTATTATTCGACCAATGAAATTGAAGTAGACTGGATACATCCAGGGCAGAATAATGTATGCGGAAAAGTCACGTGTCTTCTCTATTTGTCCAGACCAAGTTGTATGACCTTAGATTTTAAGAATTAACCTTAAAAGTAAACACAAAAAAGGTTGTCATTATAAATACCATTATGTAGTAGCACGTCAGAGTTCCTAATAGATAAGATCAAATTAATTATAATAGAGGTTTTTTTGTATTTCCCAATGAATGAAAAAACAAAACGAGATCAAATTAAATTTTTTTTTTTGATTTACAGCTTGATTCCACACCCTATTTTTGGTACAAGTATGGAATTTTCAGCATGTGGTATCGGTAGTCCAAATTTTGCAGGCCGACCATAGATATCAGGTGTGCGTCTGCAGGGGATCAAACCCCGGACCATGTGCATGGTCGGCGAGAGTCCTAACCACTGTGCCACCGACGCACGATATGTGCACCGTATTCTTTCCCTTAATAATAGAAAATGTAGCAATTTATTGAAAATATATTGTAAAATAAAATCTGTGAAATGAAAAGGAGGATTTCACATCGAATTACTACACATGAATTAACAGAATTCAAATTATTTCTTTTTTAATTGTTTTAAAAACTACTAAATTATTCATCAATAAGCGTCTTGGTCTTCAACGTAATTATAATGAGAGAAAAACTAGATTTTCTGTTCTGTTGTCTTCATTCCAATAAATTAAAAAACTATGGAACCAGTCATTTACTTATTCGTTCCTACTTAGATGACTTGGATGCATGTTGCTAACAAAAATATTTTGTTATTATTATTCGTTCTCTGCCTTCCGAGTGCAACATGGCTTCAGCTGCAAACCTCCAGTCTACTCTGCTCCTTGTAGTCCACTATCACCTGTGTCCATGACCGCTTACGAGCTTCGTTTTCTTTTTCACATAATCTTTTTTATGTCACCCTCGGATGAACACTGAACTTGTCACTTCCTATTTGGGATTTACCTGTGTCACTTGAATGCCTCCTCAGAGTATGTTCAGTACATCTCCCTTTCCATCTGCATATCTATTGGTCAACGGGTTATTGGTTGGTTCTCCGCCAAAGTCCCTTCCGACTTTTCCTTTATGGTCGCCCATTCGGTCTTCAGTATTAAGACAGAGAAGTAGGCTGGTGTTGATAAAAGTCTGTAGTAGGCTATCGGAAATACTTTTCATGATGCTCATGGCAAGTCTCGAAACCACATAGAAGCACTGAATTCGTTGACATTAGTATTCAAAATTATTATTATTATATTGTTCCTTGTCGTGAGCGAGTGGATCTCCACACTTCTGAAACATGTTTACTTATTTTTCTTTGCTATACTCAATTGTTATTCACTTCCCAAAGAGGAAACTACATTTTCATTTCCTGTTATCTCATAGGTGACGGGTGTGACGAAGGCAGAGAATTTTAGGCTTTTATTAACCGTCTTACCTTAGCTGGGTTATGATTTATTTTATTTTGGGATACGAAATAAAAACCGTATGAAGTATTTTAATCACTTCACTTTATCCTTACAAACTGATCATATATTTATGTTTAGCTTAAGATATCTAACCCAATTCAGTAAATGGGTAATAGTTTGTTGTGTTAAATAGGCCACTTTTTACTGTACAGACCACAGTTAGCATCCTAGTTGCTTCTAATTGTTATGTGTCTGCTAACATCTCTGTTGCAATATCACTTGAGGGTATATTTTTTGGGTTACTTGTAACTTGAAATCAAGCACTAATCAATACGTGAATAGATAAATTGCTTACTGCTAAGGAAATTAATTTTTTTGGTCCGGGTTCGATTCCCCAGTCAACGTACTCCTAAACTTTACCTAGCTGATAGTAAGCCCAGTCAAATTCTATAGAAAACAAACACCACCACTGATCAAACTTCAAAAGTCTGCTCCACTAAGAATGCTAGAAATGAAGAAAATTAATCGGTGCTAGGACTTTGCATACACGAATTCCCCTTACTGAATTTAAGCAAAAGCGATAACACAACATGGGCAGGATAAAATGGATCTATTGATGAATCGAAGTTCGACGTTAGAAAATGATAAAATATGATGATGAGATCGGAATTTCTCAAATAAAACAAAAGTGGTGGGGGTAAATGGTAAGACTATTTGAGATGGCCGATTGTTACTGGAGTAATTCTATAGGTGCCTTATCGACAGTGAATTGAAAATCCAGGTTGTGGCAGGATTAAAACTAACTACCTCCTAATTACCAGACTGGCTGAATTACCACCACTGGTTATACATTAAAATGATTATCCGTTTGACAGTTGTTTCTGAGCTAGCAGAACACATGAACTAGTAATTTACAGACAGTTGGTTTGAATTCTATTGTGGCTTAGATTTTCATTTCATTTTCAGACACCAGCAATCAGAGAAATAAACTGCTGTCAAGGATAAAGACAGGGTATATATATATATTCACCTGACGAATAATTTCATACAAAAGGCGATCCATCACGAATTGATGTCTTTTAGAGTACTACTAAAAGTCGAAGAAGGATGAGCAAATATAACCCTGTAAACAGGTACATTTCTAGAACTGTAGAATTCTAAGGCGTACAAGCAAGTCATCATCATTGATTTATTGGGTTGAAATTCAGCTTTAAAAGGTAATAGTTCTTTTCTCTGTTACTCAGAATTACATACTGAAGAAAAGAATTTCAAGTAAAAGTGAAAGAGGTGTCTAAAGGGTTTTTTGATAGCTTGTATTGAAACCTACCTTGAAATGTTTCATTTTTCTATGAAACTTAGATACACATATATTCAATGGATGGTGGCTATTATGGTATTATTATTATTGTTCCATTATGTTTCGTGTGGAACATATGACTTCAGTAACACGTCTCCACTTTGTCCTATTTTCTGTGGCCCTCTTTAGCTGACCCCACAGTTGCCCATAGTCTCTGATCTCCTCCATGTTACTCTCGGACGCCTCACTCGTTGTTTTCCATTCCAATATTGGCTAGCAATAGATTATTGAATGTAAAAACTCATCCTACTTAGAACTAACTGACTGAATAATAATATATGACGTTAAGGGTTAAAGTTACTCATTTTCAATACACATTATCTTTAATTTCATGACCTTATGCTTATTTCCCCGTCTTCGTTTAAAACCTGTAGAAGAAATCAGGAATACAAAACTTAAAATTGTAATGTTAGTCTAACACCCTATTATCTACAGACTAAATACCGCGTTAAATAACTTTGACAATTTGTCAATATTTACATACATGTTTCACCGACAAAAATGATGATATATTGTTGTCTATTTACAATATGCACTTCATCAGAATATTTTATTAATAACTTATACATAACACAGTGCACTTTACTTTTTTTCCGCATAATACATTTATTTGCACTACTAACTAGCAGAGATAGATAGCCTTTGAATATCGATTTTTCTCCTTGTTTTCAATATATAATATAATAATATTATAGAGTTTGAAGGTAATCAAATCATCACATGATTTATTGATTTTAAAAAGCTGCTCTTAATAATAATAGCATTTAAATCAAGGATAATATTATCATTATCACTATTATGATTACTATTATTACTGCTGTAATTACAGTTGGGATTCTATATAGTATTCTTTTTCAATGTATATCGGTCATTTAGTTACTAATAGAATTTTTTGTATGAGAAGACATCTGAATTAGAGTACAATATTCCTATTGAGTAATGAATAGAGTGGAGGCTTAATAGGGTTTCTCACAAAAGATTGCACTTAACTAATACTCATTTCTAATAAGGGGTAATAACAGGATGATTTAAAGAAAATTACTATTTTCAAGTATTGGTTTCGTGGGGATTTTGTTTCGTTGGTTACAGGATTTCATCACGAGCTGACATCGGTTAGACAACCATTGTAAAACCACAAGGCAGTACTGGTTTGGGACTGTTCATCAGTGCGCATCCACTGCCAGGGTTCGAACCCAGGACCTTCTGGTTACAAGGCGAGCTGGCTCGTAGACTATTAAGTCACTGGGACACTATCCAGTGGCCAGACAATGAATTCTAACTTCTGCCAATTCATGACATAGTGAAACCACTTCACGAAGTTTTCTTCGATGAGCTGCTGTCTGGGTTCGAAGGCGGCGGGTGCCTACTGCTGAAGAGTACCAGGTTAGAATGAAACAGCTGTACAGTATTCCCAGGTGGTTTTCCAGTGGTTTTCTAACTGACGTCAGCTCATGATGAAATCCTCCAGCCAATCAAAATTACAATTGTTAGTGAGTTGCTATCCGGAAAATAATAATGCTGATAATCATTGGTTCAAACATCTAGGAAAACGCGAACTTGTGAGTAATTTAGTAAAGAGAATTCAGTATTGTGTCTATTTAATATTTATACCTGTACTATTGTCAGAGATTGGTATTAATATATGCCTTTCTAGCTACTGGTTTTTTAAAGTATTTTTAGATTTGTAGGGAATTCGATAGATTTAAATATAGATTTCATCACGAACTGACATCAAGTAGCAAATTATTGAAATTTGTTTACCTCCAGTTCGGAACTTTTCGTCAGTGGGTTCCACTGACCGTACTAGAGATGGAACGCAGGATCTTCAGATAAGCTATGGCACATGACATCTATGAGATTGGGTGTGAAGAATACGCTTAACTGTTACATTGGTAGGTAAAGACACCATATTATGAACTGACAGAAGATAGGATTCATTGGACAAATGGATACAAATGCAGTAATTAAATGATTAACAGGCTCATTTGGTTAAATTAAATTTGCAATTAACAATTTACACAGTTCGAAGTGAAATTTTACTGTGGTTTCCT